GGTGTTAATTCATAGGGGAAAGGTTTGCAATAGAAAAAAGAACAAAGAGGTTGAACCCAAGGGGCGGAGAAGTATCCTTTCCATCCGTATCCCACCTGAGTTCTACACCTCATGTTCCAGAAGGATGGATCTCCAGTAGGACGAATCTCCATCAGAAGAAGGGGTGCCGACGGATCTCGTTTTCTAATAGAACCCGTCGCCTCCGAGGCTACCTCTGCTTGATGCCGTTATAGGGGTAGATGTGCTGGACTCGCTTGGGGTTGCTGGCTCAACAACCTGATTACGAATGGTGATAATCCATTCGTGCTGCAACAGCTCTACAGCCGAGGCTCGAGTCTTGGGGTCCCTGGTGAAACACCGGCTCAGGAAGTCAATGCCGCACTCGCTGAGTTGGTCTGTTGATGGTAGCTGCGGAGGGTTTCCCTGGGCGATACTATACATGATCGCCCATTCATTGTCCAGGTTAGCCCAAGGTCGCCGACCCGTTACCATTTCCAGGATGACACATCCTAAAGACCAGATATCCACAGCGCCGGCTCTGCCAGGGTTCTCGCCCTTGATCACCTCCGGCGACATGTACATCGGTGTGCCGGTCATGGACTTGTTTGGTTTGGTCGCGTGTAGATCTGCAGCAAGAGTACGTCCCTGTCGGGCGATGACCTTAGCTGCGCCGAAATCAACGTACTTGATGATACCATTATGGTCAAGCAAAATATCTAAATTGGAATATGTTAGCCGTATGCTCTCACGGGAGCCGTGTGAAAACTACCATGGTCACTTACTCTCTGGTTTGATGTCACGATGCGCAATGCCGCTCTCGTGGAGATATGCAAGACCCTCAAGCAATTGCAAGGCATAGACCATGATCACTTGTTCGTCCTCGATACGGCCATGCTCTAGCAATGTGGCCAATGATCCTCCGGAACAGAATTCCATAAAGATGTACACCCTATCCCGGTGTACTTCTATACCGTAATAGGAGACAACATTTGGGTGGTCCAGCACTTCTAACACGCTCATCTCTTCTCGAATCTGCTCCGCAATGGTTGGGATCAGCTTTGGGTCCTGTAGCCGGATCTCCTTCACCGCCATCAAATGACCCGAGTCCAGGTTCATGGCGGCATAAACTTGACCAAAAGTGCCGCCGCCCACAAAGTGGCCCTGCTGCCAACGCATTGTGATGTTGGTGGCGGAGGAGGACAGGTAGGCTAGAGAGCGGTCGGCCTCTGTGTTGGCTTCTAGGACGCGACCAAGAGCCTGCCTTTCTGCTTCCTTCTCTCGCCGGAATATGTCTAGCTTCTCCAGCTCCTCCAGGCGCTGCTGAGTGATGCAGATTGAAGCTTCCTCATCGTCCAACATCCTATTCTTGTCGACTTTTCGGAACTGACCCACAAGAGCCTCGATTCGCTCCTTTTCCGCCTGCGCAGCAAGAGTCGACTTGGCTCCCATGATATCAAAGTGGGAGATGAGAAGAGACATGCAGCCTGCCACTTTGTTCCGAAGTTTATCATACTCGCTTTCTCCCAGGGTGATGATCCGGCTGCCGCGCGTCATACCCATGGCAAACTCGAGAGCAAGCACTGCCCAGCGGAAAGTTTTACGATCCGAGGCAATGCAGTCATCGCATATAAAGCTGATCCAGTCCAGCGCGAGCTTTGTCAGTTTCAGATTGTTCATCTGTCGCCGGTTACTGTCCATGTAGAGCAGCGACCGTTGACCGAATTCAGTCGCAAATACAAAGCAAGTCTGGATAAGCTCCTGGCAGTCTTTCCCTTCTGTCTGCCTCCTGATTGTTTCCACACTGTCCATGAAGTTGTTGGACAGTTTATAAGCCACTCGCCGAATCTCCATTAGGCGTGTGTTGACCTTGTGAATGTTTGGTCGGGACTCTTGCACCAAATCAACGTGCATGTCCACCGCATCGAGGAAGGTCCTGCGTGTGTTCGGTAGTCCAGGTGATCCCGTAGCGCAGAGACGGGCGTGCCCACGCTTCAGGTCGATACTCAGTGGTTGCATATTCATCGTAATAGACTCCGCAAACCAATTGAACGGATCTTCCGGTCGTAGAAGTAGCAAGTACTGGTCACCTTCTTCGCCGTCCAGACGTTCCTTAGATGTTATAGCCATGATGGCTTCGATGATGTCCGGCTTGTCATGCAACTCGGGAGATGCGATGAGATAAATTCCATCCTGCTCCAAAAAGCCAGTCTGCACATGGAAATGGCCGGTGGCTGCCAGCTGGTCATAGAACTTCCGCATGCGCTCTGGGCCAAAGGAAATGTTGTAATCGGAGCAGTGCTCGTAATTATCGGTTAACATCCTAGAAAACCGCTGCAACATCCGCTGTCGAATACGCACGGAATCCAAACAGGCTTTGTATCGCTTGCTCATTTCTGCCGGACTCTCTTTGGCCTTGACCTGCAGCTCGCTCTCAAAAGTCTGGCTCAGCCGGTTCAAGGCCTTGAACGTCAGCGAACTGAACTGCTCGGCCACGACGATGTGACCTCTTTCGAGATGACTTCCGATGTCATTTGCGAAATCCCACTCCTGGAACAAAAGTTCCGCCTCTTTGAATGTGTTTTTATTGCCGCTCAACTTCCAGTTCAACATCTTGAAATAATATTTCAGAGCTTCGAGAACAACCATGTCAAACGACTCATCAATGAATGGGGGGAGATCCCACCCAGGCTCGGGCTTGGCAATGGTTGCAAACTCTCCCTTGATCCGGATGGCAAATTTGAGGAGAAGCTGAAACTGCGATATCATCTGATCCTGCATCAGAGGGTTCTGCTGTGCCGTGTCCTTAACCCTCTTGGCATAGGCGAGTCGCATCCGAATAATCTCCTCAATCAAGCGCGAAGGAAAGCTGATGAGTGTGAGAAGCTCTTCCAGATAAGGCGGCAGGTGGCGCTTGCGGAAAGTTGTCGAGTTGTGAATGAGGGTTTCCTTTGCCTTGCAGATAATAGCTGCAATCGGCTTCAGCATTCCTTGTTGTGTGGAGTTTTT